CAGTACTGGTTGTTCTTGTTCTTTTGTATGTGTGCAAGTCTCTGTGAGATGATATCTCATTGTTGTTCTGATTACCTCTTCCTGATGATTAGTGATGTGGAGTGTTTTTAAGTGCCTTTTGACCATTTTCATTTCATATTTACAGAAGTTTCAGTTCATTTCTTCTCCCCATATTTTGATGTGTTTGTATGTATTTTTCTTGTAAAATTCTACCAGTGCCTTATATATCTTGGATATTTACTTCTTATCCAATTGATATTGGGTAAATGTATATATATATATATATATATATATACACATATATATATACATATATATAAATCCCATTTCCAATGGTGCCTCAGAAAATCAAGTGCCACGGAATCAGCTTAACTAAAGAGGCGAAGGGCTTATACAAAGAAAACTATAAAACACTACTGAAAGAAATAAAAGAGGATGTGAGGAAATGGAAACACATCCCCTGCTCTGAATCAGAATAATTAACATTGTCAAAATGCCTATACTCCCCAAAGCATTATACAGGATACCCATGATCTTTTGCAAAGGAATAGATAACATACTCTTGAAATTCATATGGAACAATAAAACCCCTGAATAGCTAAAGCAATCCATGAGATAAAGAAGATGGGAGGCAGAAACTTCCCCAACTTCAAACTGTACTATAAAGCACTAGCATATCCTTTTGAATGAATGTTTCTTACATCCTAAAGGCATATTGCCAGGAGTTAGTTGCTAGGTCATATGGCAGCTAAATTCTTAGTTTACTAAAAAATCTTCATCCTGTTTTTCATATGAGTTGAACCAGACAGCTGTCCCATCAAAACTGAATGAGTTTCTTTTTCACCACATTCCTGCCAACATAAATTGTTCTCAATACTTTTTATATGTGTCATCCTCTTTGGTGTGAGATACTATATCATTGTTACTTTGATTTAAATTTCTCTAATAATAAGTGATGATGAGCATTTTTATATACCTATTTGGCCATCTGTCTTCCTCAGAGAAGTACCTGATTTTCCTCTCCTCATTATTTTGATAGGGTCTCTGTATTTGTTGTTGATCTTTGTGCTTTATAAAGCTTGAGTGTAAACCTTTTAAAAATGGTTTGAGTGTAAACCATTTATAAATATTTTAGACCAATTAAATTTAGAAAATGTCATTAGTGAACTCATATAAACCTGAACAGGTTTTCTGGGGGAGATATTTGATTACTGTTTTGATTTATGTGTTAGTAATTCTTTTTGATGTTCTAATTTTATGGCATATAATCGTTCATAGTTTTCTCATACAATATACTGCATCTTTGGAATATTAATTCTCTTTTATTTCTGATCCAATTTATTAGTGTTTTTATTTCTTCATGAGTTTACTATGGGCTTATAAATTTTATCTTTTGAAAAAACAGCTCTTGCTTTCATTTTCACTTCTAGCGTTACTGGTTTTTACATGAATTTTTTATTTATTCCCTCATCCTACAGACTATATTTCCATAGGGATGGTATTTTGCATTTTCACTTTTCTTTATTTCCAGGAGTTTTAAAAATTAATCTGAAAATTTCTCCCCCCCCCCATTTTCCACTTTACTCAATAATTTTCTTCCTGGGGATCTACTCAAAGGAAATGAAAACACACCACAGTCCTCAGGCCAGGTTAGTCTTTTCTAACCCCAGCAAGATCCATATTGAGATAGTTATTTTTGGGTCATAACCATGACCCAAAAATAAGAGCTTGATTTGTTCCATGACCATGCTCTTAACTTATAACACTTAGCTTGTCTCCTTTCAATGCCAGGGTAGCTTACAGCTTGCCCTGGGTCCATCCAGTCCGTTTGTCGGGACCCTGCTTTTGGAGTGCTAGGAAATAAGGGCAACGGAGGCTTAAGTCAAGCAAATATGGTTTCCCAGGAGTAAATATTATTTTGGAGTCAATTAACCCCCATGTTACAAAGCATAGCATGAACTGTCTTCTGTGTCTATATGAAAACGGCATTGCTAAATAAGCCATGCAAATGACATAAAGGAAAGAGAAAAGAAATATAGAATTATTAATGCTTGATGGAATTGGGTGTGCTTCAGGGGGCACAGTTGTGGGAGTAACTCAGTAAACATAATATCCCTACAGGAGGAGCAAAGACAACCCAATGTCATCCAACATTCATGGAAATGTTATTTATAATAAAATATGGAAACAACTCAAATGCCAACTAACTGATATAACCTTACCAAGAAGCAGCATTTAGCATTTAAAACAGAATAAAACATGGTTCAGAACAACAGATAGCAGATAGGGTGCTTTACTTGCGTATGATTAACTTGAGTTTGATTCCCAGGATCTGGGCATCCTATCTGCTGTTAAAGCTGTAGAAGATATGTTTAGGTACACATATGCTTGCAGAAATATTTAGTGCCTAAAGTAAAATAACTAAGAAATGTGCGTATTATTGTCCAATCATAGTAACTCTGTAGAAAATAAATGAGAAAGGATTGTCACTAATGATCCTTAACTAGGATAACAAGTGAGGGTTTAAGAGAAAAGAAAATAGAAAAGGAAAGGTAAAAACCATAGAACACTGGACATTTTGTGATAAAGTATGGTAAAGGAGCACACTTTCTTTTTTATTTGAAGATGGTAAAAGAGGAATTATGGAGACACTAAAGGGATTGCTAGACATAGCTTATGCTTATACATCTTTGAAATGTCAATTTAAAATAAATGAAACTTTTGTATTTTTCTTATGTTTATAAATATTTACTAAATACTTGAAATTTCATAACCATGCATGTATGTCAGGTTCTCAGAAGGGTTCAAACACAAATAACAATAATAAATGCAGACATCATATACACACAATAGATTAGTAATGAGGATCAAAATAGGGAAGACATTGTTAGTGTGCCTGGTATTTATACAGCCGCTCTTCAGGATCCAGTTGTAATGATACTATGATGTGTTTTCTCATACAATTTTGTTGCTGGGAGAAAACAAACTTTTAAATCTTGTCCTACACATGGTATAAATAAAAAACCCTTCATTAACATGTAACCAGAGAGATAGTATCTTTTAATAATAGATGCATTTTCTTCCTTGAATCTGTAACCATACTGAAAAAATAATTTGAGTTTCAAAACTTACAAAATTACACACTCAAAGAATTCTAAGGAGCTGTAGAGATACTGTATAGTGGGTAGGACACTTATTTGCCTTGCATTATGACTGACCAAGGTTCAATTCCCAACATTCCTTATGAGGACTGTCAGAATTAACCACTGAGGCCTTGCTGCATGTGGTCCCAAAACAAACAAGAACGAACAACAGCTACAAAAAAGAATTCTAACAGTTCTACACTTAAGTTTCTGAAGTAATTTTCTCATGTCTGTATAAAACAGTGTCACGAATTTAGTAATTAAAACAACAAAATCAATTCTTACAAAGTACCAGAGAAAAAATATCCTAAATATAAGTGTTCTCACGAATGGACTTTCTCTAAGGATTCTAGGAAATAATACATCCCTTGCCTCTCCCAGTTTCTGAAATTAGAGGTTCTTTTGTTTAGTTTACATGTACGTGCAGCATATTTTTATTAGATTAATGGAAGCACATTCAGAAATATTTTGAAAGTCTAGGATAATATACACTCTTGCTTGGCTCTATGCTTCATCATGTCTCAATTTTTAAAAAGCTTCAGAATTTTATTATATCCATAATTTAGAATCTGCAATAGCACAGTGGTAAGGCATTTGCCTTGCACGCGGCAAGCCTGGCCGACCCAGGTTCAATTCCTCCGCCCCTCTCGGAGAGCCCAGCAAGCTACCAAGAGTATTTCACCCACAAGGCAAATCCTGGCAAGCTACCCGTGACGTATTCTATATGCCAAACACAGTAGCAGCAAGTCTCACAATGGAGACATTACTGAGCCGGCTCGAGCAAATCGATGAACAACAGGAGGACAGTGCTACAGTGCTAGAATCTTCTCATTAGTAGTATGAATCTTCATGGATACTTAATGAATTATTATAAGTACTCCAAATGGTTTGAGTTTAAATCTATAAAAACAACTAAAATAGTATGCTTAGCACCCATATGTACTCTATATAAGTATATAGTGATTCTAATAACAATTCATTAATCATACTTACATTACATTTATATAAATCGATGAAGTTTATATTGGACTCAAGTCCAATGGACTCAAGTACTGCTCAGGATAACTGGGACCCACCCCAGTGATACTCGGACAAGGTGGTCCAATGCAGGAACCCACCTTTCTGTTGCTTCTTGGACATAGCAAAGCTGGAGAACACCAGGGTCTGTAAGGTTATATCTGATGTTGATGTGGTGGGCCAGTGGGTATAGGGTGTGCCTGAAGTGTTAGAGATTAAAATCAGTCCTTTCTTACACTATCTTACCATCTCCCTTTTTTCTTCAAAAATTTGAACTGCCCAAATTTTACCATTGATTCAGGAAATCTAGTCATTTCTTAAGAATTCTGCTTTTTTGCTATAGGCACTTCAATATATTTCCAAGTTTCAGCTGCATATACATGAGATAGGAGCTTGATAGAAATAAAATAATCTTAGTTCTACCCTAAATTACTAAATAGATGGTATCTATGTACATCATTCTATAATTCATTATTTACAATGATCTATTATCTCCTACTTTACTTCGCCCTTCTAAGAGAACCCTGCAAGCTACTGAGAGTATCCCGTCATCACGGCAGAGTCTGGCAAGCACCCGGTGGTATATTCAATATGCCAAAAGCAGTAACAACAAGTCTCACAATGGAGACGTTACTGGTGCCCGCTCGAGCAAATCGATGAACAATGGGAGAACAGTGATACAGTGATTATCTCATACTATGACCTTAACATTTTATTACTCTTATTTAATTTTTATTTTAGTTCAATATAATCAGTGTTATTTTCTGAAAATAGTAATAGTAACAATGAATTATAAAAATTATCTCTCAATTGTCTTTTTTAAATATTTGTTTTCTTTAGATCCCCCAATTATTGAAGGAAACATGGAGAGAGCAAAAGCAGTGGATTTAATCCCATGGATGGAGTATGAATTTCGGGTGGTAGCAACCAATACTTTGGGTATAGGAGAACCTAGTATACCATCAAACAGAATAAAAACAGATGGTGCCGGTATGTAAAATTAACTTATTCAAACAAAAAAAATTCTGAATACATTGCCATTTTAAGATGCATTCATTTGGGAATAATGCTCATAGAGTCCTGATTTATCTTACCTTTAAAACTTTGTGTAAATGCATTTCATACACACACAGATGTGTATATATTCTATGTTGAGATAAAAAATTCAAAAAGGAAAAAGACTTTAGAGTATCTTACATAATTAATATAGGGATGTAGGTAAGCAGAAACTACAGTATATTTCTTTATAGACCATTTAAATGAAGTTGGCATTATTGAGAAATTAAAAATGTGCTTATTTGATAATAGAAATTATAATCTGCGTCTGCTGTTCCAAGATGTATTCTACCAGTGTTGGGAAATAATGAAGTGTTAAAGGATAAAACACACAAGGTTATTGAAATTTTTTTCTAAGAGTTTAAAAGGATTTTAAAGAATTTTAAGAATTAAGCTAATTTTTTCTGACTATAATAGATTTGTTGACAAGTGTCAGTGGACATAAGGCTGCAGTCAGCAGTCTGTTGTGACAATTAGCAAATGTCTTCTATTTTGTTAGTAGTTGACAATTATTGATTGAGAGTGACTCACTAATATTTCCAGAAATAATTGCCACAATAAAGTGTAGATAACATTCCTCAATTTATATAGTTCCTTTCTGGTATGTGTGTGTGTGTGTGTGTGTGTGTGTGTGTGTGTGTGTTAAGAACTCTTAAGACCTCAAACTTAGATTTGCAGTCGTACTAATAACTATACTCACCCTGATGAACATTACGTACCCTGGACTTATTTATTTTAAGACAAAGTTTGAACCTTTTTACTTCTCCCATTTCATTCTATACCCATCCCCTCTTCTGGCAACAACCAATTTGTTTCTGTCTCTATAAACTTTTTGTTTTATTTGTCCTTAGATTCCACATAATGGAAACATCATACAATGTTTGTTTTCTCTGTGTAACTAATTTAACTTAGCTGCTAATTTCCTTTTATCAGAAATTGCAAGATGTATTTTCATGGATTAATAAGGTTCATGTGCATGTGTAAAAACATTTCATTCTTCTATTGATAGGTATTAAATTGTATACATATCTTAGCTATTGAAAAATACAACACACAATCAGGGTATTTGCATCTTTTCAAGTTAGTGGGTTTTGGTTTTGTTTTATAAATAAATTGAAGAAGGATTATTTGACCATTTATATAGCATGTATATTTCTGAGTTCTGCATTCTGTTACAATGATCTATGCATGTTTTTATTTCAATTCCATACTGCTTAAATTACATAGTTACTACAGTTTCGCAATATAGTTTAAATCAGATAACTGTTTTCATTTTTGTTTTTATTTCAAGAATTCTCTGACTATTTGGAACTTTTTATAATTCCATGTTAGGACTGTTAATTCTATTTCTATGAAAAATATCATTGGAATTTTGATATGGATTTCATGGAATATATAAAATGTTTTGAGTTTTATGGATATTTTAACAATATTAATAGTTCTAATGTATAAACATAAAACATTTTCATTAATTTTTTTCACAGTGACCTATAGTTTTAAGTATACAAGTCTTTTAGCTTCTTAGTTTATTCTTTATTCCTTCTTGGTTTATAACTTTATTCCTAGTGTCGTATTTATTTTAATATAATTGTAAGTTGCTGTACTTTCTTTATAATTTAATTTTGAGGTTTTATAACTTAAAATGTATTAATTTTAATGATTTAGACATATAGTGTTACTGTATCTCCGAATAACAATATCCTTCCACCAACATCCCTAGATTCTTCTTACCCACAATTCCCCCATCTTCACAATTGACAGATTCGGTTCTACTGGTAGAATTCATAGATCATTGTCTTTGCCTTGCTTTTTCTTTTTAATTTTACTGTAGGTCTTATTTATTTTTTTTTACTGTTTAAGTAACAAATGTTACTTTTCAGACTTGATAAACAAAGTTTCTATACTGTCACCACCAACAAAATGCCCATGACATTCTTTCATTACCTCCATGATACCCTTCTCTCCATTAAAAGAATCTCAGTTTTGCAGTTGAAAGTCAAGGGTTTGACTTATTTGACAGTGTATAAAACCTTGTTCAGTTCTCTATATTCCACAGATGTATGGGATCATCTGGCAATTGTCCTTCCCCTTTAGCTCCAATTGAGTTGCAGAAAATTGAAAAATTTCTATGACTGTATAGTATTCCATTGTATTTGTGTACCACTACTTCTTTATCTGATCATCTGTCAATAGAATTTGGGTTGTTTCCATATCATGGAAATTGTATTTGGCTTTGTAACAAACATAGGAATGCATGTATCTTTTCAGTTTAACTTTTTTTTTTTGCCTTGGAAAAGGTATTGATAAGTGGGATCATAGGACTATATGAAAGCTCTATTTTTATGTTTTAAGAAGTCAGCATGCTGTTTTCCATAGATACTGAACCATGATCACTTCTTGCCACAGGGTACTTGCTATGCTTCACATTTTTCATGCTCCCTCCCACCAAAATGTGTCTGCAATTTCTTGCTACACTCTTGAAGGTCCCAGATCCCCATCTCTTTAGAGCTTGAGTTCTAGATCTATCATACTAAGAGATCTTCATAAGGCATTAATGACTACCAGAAATTAATAATGTCATAAAGCACTACACTGGTACTATAAACAGAGAATTCACTGCTCATATTGCCTGTAATTTGGAGCTCTATTACCACCAATGATACATTAAGAATAATGAAAAAAATCAAAGAATTAAGACTTCAGGCTTGGGAGGATGACCCACTCCCTCAGATGTATGACCCTGGGACAGAAGTCCAGGTCCTTCTTTGAGTACCTTAGAACACAATAATGTTGCTCAAAGATAGATCTAGAAGCAATGGTTCTTCAGTGTTCAATGAACTGGGTAGATCACTGGAAAAATAAATGAATAAACTCAAAGAAAATATTAGTGGAAATTAAACAATTAATTAAACATAGTAAAGGTAACTAAAGAATACAGTAACAGCAATCAGTAGTGTATTAGAAGAAGATGGAATTTAATCCTTGTTTTTAAGGACAAGACAAAATGTCAGCAATGAAGAAGCAGTAATACCAATAAGAAGTTTTAAAAATAATTAAAGTATTTAATGGTCAAAATTAAGAAAAACACCTGTGAATCATTGGCATCTCAGAAGAAAAAGAGAATATGCAAAATTGGCTGGTAAAAAATAATAGCTGAGATTTTTCTTAGTCTGGAGAGAGACCTGTGCAATGATCTAGGAGATCCAAAGTGTACCAAATAAAATAAACTATAACAGAACAACATCAAGACAGATTATAAATAATATAGCAAGAAAAAAAGGAGAGAGAGAATACTTACAATGAGAAGAGATAAAGCTTCGATTACAAAGGAAATAATAAACTTCACATCAAATTTCTCAAAGAAAACTCAACAAGCAAGAAAGAAAAGGAATGATATCATGAAGAAATTGAACAAAATGTACTTTTCACTTAGAATTTTTTATCTGCGAGGTTTTCATATATATATATATGAAGGAATAATAAAAAACTCTATTAAAAGCTAAGGACAATTATTGCATCCAAATCACCTTTGTAATAAATACTGAATGAATGTCACTGTCACTGTCACTGTCCTCCCGTTGTTCATTAATTTGCTCTAGCAGGCACCAGTAACATCTCACAACAAATTGTGAGATTTGTTGTTACTGTTTTTGGCATATTCAATATGAATGAATGACCACCAATTTTTAAAAATATGCTTGCTTCCTCACTTAACATGATTTCCTATGCAACAAATTGCATCTCATCATCACTTGCAGCTGCAGAAATTTGCATATAAACTACCTATTTTATTTATTTATTTATTTTATTGAATCGCCATGAAATAGTTATTCATGATTGGGCTTCGGTCATGCAGTGTTCCAACACCCATCCCTCCACCAGTGTAGATTTTCCACCACCAATGTCTCCACTTTCCTTCCACTTCCTCTTTCCATCCTCCCACCCTCACCCTCCAATCTCTCTCTGTGGCAAGCACCTTTCTTGCTCTCTCTCTCCAAACCTCTCCTTTTGTGCATTATGGTTTGCTATTTGATGCTTTGGGTTTTGTACATGACTGCCAGGGCTTCTGGAAGTGCAGAGAGGTAGGGGTAGGTAGACCACCATGACCCTGAGAGAGCCTGGAGATTTCAGTCACAAAACATACATACCCTCATTTTTGGCAGGTTAATGTCTTGGTGAAGTCCATCCTGAGACAGTGGAGTACGACGGAGGGCATGGCAGCAATTTTGGATTGTGGGATCAAGTGGCTGCCAAGGGCTCTTCTTGGGTGGACACCAGGCTGACCTGCCCCCTTTGTATGGACCCCTATTGTAAAGCCCTGTGTGGGTCCAAGATTAACTGAAGCTTCCGATCTCTTTCAAGATTTTTTATGGATCTCTGAAGTAAGGTTTGTGGAAGAGCTTCCATGGTGGTGCTGGAGTTGGTTCATCAGGGTAACTGCCAATCCTTTCTAGAGTATTGGGAAGTGGGAGGGAGGTAGCCCATCTTGACCTCGAGAGCCTGGAGATTTCAGTTACAAAACCTACATACCTGAATTTTAAGCAGATTAATATCTCTGTAAGGTCTGTCCTGGGACAGTGGAGTGTGGTCAGGGGCATGGCAGCAATTTGGGGTTGTGGGAACAAGTGGTTGTTGGGAGCTCTGCTTGGATGGGCCCTAGGTTGACCCACTCCCTCAGATGTATAATGTTTGTAGAGTCTTGTGCAGGTCCAAGATTAATTGCAGCTTCTAGATCCTTCATTATTTTTTTATGGGACTTGAAGCATGGCTGAAAAATGAGCTTGTATGGCTGAGCCTGAGATGGTTTGTGGGTGTGGCTCCCACATACCTAACTTTTGGCCATTTAATTTCCTAGGTAGGTTGGTTCTGAGTTGTTGGAGTCTGGCCAGAGGCACAATGGCAATTTTGGGGTGTCAGTAAACCTGAGGGCACCCATCAGGCTGCTGATGCACTCATCCCATGGGTCCAGGTTGACCTGACATCAACGCCACACACCCCTGGGACCCCATAGTTACAGCAGAAATAAACCTGGCAAAGACCAGATCTGGGTCCAGGGCTGCTACAGTATGTAGCTTGGGCACTCTGGGCAGGCTGCAGCCACCAGTCTAACAGAATCTGACTGGGGGGCACACCCATATCCTCATCTTTGGTCTTCAGACAGTTGACGGTCAGGGAGGTTTTCCTTCAGAATTGCTACGTGCAGTGCCAGCTGGTGTGGGGAGGAAATGGTGGTGGAGTGGCCCTGCTGGTGGCCAATTGCCCCACCCATGGTGGGGACCCAGGGTGCCTTCTCAACTCCTCAGCACCACCACATACTGCAATGGTGCCAAGTTGGTTCAGACACCTTAAAACTCTGCAACCACCCATAGCACCATGAGATGCACGACTTCCATCATTTGGCTTTTGTGCCGTCCCCATCCTTACGTGGTGGGCAACCAGCTGTTCTAATTTAATGCTGCTCTCCCTAAGCCAGAATTTCCTAGGGGCACCCATGTTCACTCACACAGAAAATTTGTGGCCCCATCAGCTGTTCAGAGCACTGAGAATTGTCGTCCCTCCAGCACTTGCTGCTGTGCCACCGCCATCTTGGTGCCACATCTTTGGTACCACTCACCCTTCGCTGAACTCATGGGTCAATTCTGTTCTACTATTGTACTAAGTGCTATAGCCAGAGAAGATGTGAATATGTCCTTTCAAATCAATGTTTTTGTTACTTGGGCTTAGGATGTTAAATATTGGATGACCTCACTTATCTTTGGATATAGAATAATATGACAAGGGAAATCAATGTACCAAATGTAGGCAAATCCTTGGCCCTAGATTATGGAAATTAAAAGATAGAGAAATGAAAGAGGGAAGTAGGAAGACAAGAGCAAGAATCAGGGACCTTGGACAAAAGTGGGCAGATGTGTAGTATATATACCATACCAGACCCCCCATCTTCCAGTAGGTAGGCGTTACACCCACCAGCTGCCGCCAGTGCCAGGTTGGTCCCATCAACGGCCAAGACGCAGAGACTATAAAACCCAGTTCCCAGAAGCGTGCGGCCGCGCGAAATCTTATTATTTTATTTTTCCTTTGGAGTACCTGGCAGGCTACCAAAAGTATCCTGCCCGCACAGCATAGTCTGGCAAACTTCCCGTGTCGTACTCAATATGCCAAATACCAGTAACAATAATGGGACTCATCCTCCTAATACTGAAAGAGCATTGTAATGGCTATTTTAAAATCTCAGGGCTAGGAAGGAGCCGTTACTGGTGCCTGCTCGAGGAAATCGACAAACAACAGGATGATCGTGATCGTGATATGTAGTATACACACACACACACACACACACACACACACACATGACCAACAGGCCTATCAATCCTGTAAGCACGGTACCAAAACTACAATAATTAAACTGAAACTCAAACATGAATTGTAACTGTAGCACATGGTGATTCAATAAAAAAGTTAAAACTAATAATTAAACTTTAAAATGTGCCTGTTAAGGAGGCATTTTGGAACTTGAGAGATCCTGGGACAATTGTGGAGAGAAATTGACGCTAGAGGTAAGATTGGTGTTGGAATATTTCTCAACCTCTATTATTGACACATTAGTAAATTAGTGTCTAAATTTAATTTAATAATAACTTAAATTTAAGTTATTATTTAAAAAAACTGTAGTAAGCCCAAATCTCTTTACCTTCCAGGACTATCAGTTTAAATTTGAAGACAAGTACACTGTTTGCACTTGAAGTACACAGTACACAGTTTGTATTTGAAGACAAATACATTGAATCATGAGAAATAGGTCATGATGATTGAATAAGAAGCATGTCAAATATGATTTAGGGATTTTCACTACTCAAACTTACTTGCTTTGGAGATAAATCTCTTTAATTTATGAAACAAAGAAACCAAATGAATGTCTAGTAGCAAAAAATCAAAAAAGTTGGGGCTGGAGAGATACCGTTAGACTCTTGTCTTGCATGAGATCAACACGGGTTCCATCTCAGGCACTCCATATAGTCCTTGAGCTGCCAGAAGTGATCTTGAGCACAAATCATGAGCAGGCCTTCTCCCTTCTCATTACTTCCTAGCAACCTACACGTCTGTCCTCGGTCTTATAAATAGGCCTAGCATCACATTTCCTGAAAATTCTAGGGATATGGCACTTATTCAAGAAGATTCACCATCAGCATAGCGGGAGTGTAGTGAACACAAAACACAATGGGAAAGACACACAGAAGACAATCTAACTCAGTGAGTGAAAAACAATAATACAGAAGGTTCAACCAACACCAAACAGTTCTATAAATTCTTAAGAAAATTACTTTTCTTTGAGCTCATTAAACTTCCTAACCATGGTGTCATTAGAGAAACCCCCACAGGTATTCAGCAAATAACAAAAATTATGAGAGCTGAAAGGAAAAAAATGAGAGAAATGAAAAAGATGGTAGGTGATATTTTAAAACAACAACAGCAAAACACCTCCTTAGAAGATCTGAGCAGCAGAATAGTAGCAGCTGATAAAAAGATTAAAGAGCTTCTAAATATGATGCAAGACACCTCCAGTAAACAGCAGAAGATCAAAAAAGTTAGAAAATAGGTGAATGGCACACCAAGGTAACTATGAGGTGAATCCAAGAGGAATAATATAAAAATTATAAGAATGCCTGAAGTAACAGGAAGGCAAATTCGATGATTCACCAATATTTTAAAAACAAACAAACAAGAATTTCCCATGTGAAGGAATACAGGCACCCATATCCAAAAGTACAGAACATTTTTCAATAACTAAAATTTTGATAAAAATGAAATGAAAAATTTTATTCATAATAACTCTATAACTATGGCTTTGCAAGTTAAAACAATAATTGCAATATCTTAGTATTCATCATATTTTGAATCAATGCATACCTACTTGATTTTCATAATTTAGGACTTGTACAAATCAAGCTATACGTTGTTAAATAAAATAACAAAAAGCAAAGAGCACTTTTATGCAAATTAAGGATTCAAACAGAAAGGTAAATGGGTATCATAAGTTTATCTTCTTAGAAAAGAATAGTCATAGCATTGATTTGATTTTTATTAAAAGTGGTTTTATAAGTATACTGACCTAAAACATTATTATGGAATTACTATTAGACAAAAAATCAAGTAAAAATTCATTATTTTAAACTTAAAAATAGTTATAAATATTTTATTTATAATTTAATTCAGTGTTTATTCTAAATGTTTAACTTATTTTAAATGATTAAGCTTATTTTCTGTTAAATGCTCTGAAAACTTAAGTGAAACAGCCTCCTTAGATTAGGGTGAGCTTCCTTGAATTAGTGTGACTAATTCACACTTCCTTGGATTAGTGTGAACTGCTTCCCCCAAAGGAGTCACTATTCAGCCAATTCTTTCTATTCCTGTAGAACTGAATATAAGCAAAAAATATCTATGTTTCTTTCTAAAATTTATGTCAGAGAAGTAGGTTATGTATCAGTTCCACCTATAGGGAAAAAGCAACCATTAGCAAGTAAACTAGTAAACGTTTAAAGCTAAGTGGAAGAAATTAAACCTGTTACTTAAGCTAAATGTAAAAACATTTTTATAGATAACACTTTCATTTTTCTTGCTTATTTTGGGACTGGGAATTGAGTTATATAGTATTGTTCCTTCAGTAAATTTTTATTCATTCAATGAAAATTGATTAAATTGTAATAAGTTTTTCAATAAACTTTATTGCTTCATGAAATAAATAAAAATAACAATGAAATTCTGTTCAACTCTACAAAAAGAGATGAAATCAGGAAATCTGCTACTATATGAATGGAACTAGAATGCATTTTACCAAGTGAAATCAGTCACAAAGAGAGGGACAAATACATAATAATTTCTCTCATTAGCGGAATATTAAGAAGTATAGTGTGGAAGTAACAAATGACCAATGGCAACAGATCCTGAGAGCCAGCCTACACAACTGACCTTACTAAAGGAGCGGTTTGTATCTATAAAGATGGGGGTATTGAGACATGGGATGGCAAAATAATTTATGTTTCTGTAATTTAATGAGAACTCTAATATAAATTAAAACATCAGAACCTTACTATTGACTCTTTTATTTATGTCTTTTTCAGCACCTAATGTGGCACCATCAGATGTAGGAGGTGGGGGTGGGAGCAACAGAGAACTGACCATAACATGGGCCGTAAGTATTAATGAATTGCACTTATAAATAAATTGCATACATGCGAGTTGTTTTACCTATACCTATACTTAAACCCATTTTCTTTTCTGAACTGAATTAAAATTGAGACAACTACTAAATTGTCAGAATAAATTACTAAATTCTTCTTTAGTCAATTCCTTTCATATTTTACCTGACTTAATACTACTAAGTGTGTAGTTCCTCTACAAAATTAGATTCTGGATGCTAAGAAATCTCGAGCCTGAAGATATATACAGCAGCTAGAGTACAGCCAGTTGGGTGTGACCACAATACCCCATATGGTCCCCTGCACACTACAGGAGTGCACACCTCGGAGTCAGGAATGTGCCCTGAACACTCACTACTAGATAGAACTGAAAACCCCCAACAAAAAAAGTTCTCGCTTGAGAAAAATAACTAATTTGATCACTTCTATCATGGGATACATTTTTATAAAATTAGTTCTTGAATACTTTTTTATTTTGAGGTAGCATGAGTTACATTAATTTACAGTATCAATATGTGTGCTTTTGTCATACAAAATTACTACACTGTCACCACCATCAATGCAACAAAACCCCTCCACCACTGTCCTTTGTCTCTCTCTAGTTTGCGCCATCCTCCATCGGCCTCCCCATTATTTGAATACCTTCTTCTGTTTTTAAAGTACAAAGGTTTGTTTTCATTGCACATTGCCCTTTCATATATAGATATAGATATAGATATAGATGTATAGATGTATACTGCACATAAGTGAGATTGTTTGAAATTTGTCTTTCACTGACAACTTCTATTTCCATCAAGTTGTGGCAAAAGGAAATATTTCATCTTTTCTTTATTGTTGAGAGTACTCCATTGTATTTTTTTAAAGTTCCTATTTTTTTTCTAAAGAATTGTGATTTACAGTGTTATTGGTAGCTGCAATTTATTTTTTCATTAAGCTCTCATTGACCATTCTAGTGTTCCTTAGATTGGGGCATTGTCAGAGAAGATGAGTGTACCCGTATCTTTTCACATTAATGATTCTGTGTTCTGAAGCTTTCAACCAAGGAGATGAATTACTTGGTTATACTGGATGGAGTTTTAAGTTTATTAGAATATCTCTATACTGTTCTGTTTAGAGTTTGAACTAAGCAAAGATCCCACCAACTGTCAGTGAAGACTATTTTTCCACTGTATATCTGTCACCTCAGGTTGGTTTTTGTACCTTTTCTTCATCTACTCTTCCATATTTTTATAGTGTTCTTTGTTGTACTTTGGGAGTATTTTTAGTGCCTTGAATGTTATGGTGTGAAAATGTTTTCTCCCATTCGGTAGGGTGTTGTTTCATATTATTCATCATATTTAAAAAAATTTTGTTTTAGTCATCATAAAAATATTGAATGATAAAGATATTCAGACTCAGAGTTGGAAATAACTTTATGAAAAGAGGAGAATGAAGCCTTCATTTTGGGGAAGAATTTAGTATAAGAATTAGTTAAGTATGGTTAGGTTTGTGTTTTTTTTTTAAGAAAAACTAGGTCTTTGTGTTATTATTAAATGACAAGAATGTTACAGAGAATGAGAGGATTTTACAAGTGGTCTGGCTAAGTAAGAGCCTTTTATATTATCTACTTGGCCATTTGTCTAGGTATTTCCCATTGTCTCTTAGTTTTCTGTGAGCCTGAGGTTTGGGATAGAATTTATGATCTTGGGAAATTGTTTGCTTTCCATTCTCAGAAAGAGCCCAGAAATTTATCTGGAACGTTTAAGATGCAGCTAAAATGGAAATGCTCACAGCAGTTGGTAGAGGGAAGCAGAGGCTACCTCTTTCAATAGGATCATTGCTGTTAATAAAAGAACATGGATTATGTTCCAGAACACTTTGAAGACTTCAAGAAAAAATATTTTTACCAATAAAATTAGTTTATAGATATTTAGAAAATTATTATTTTGTCTCAAGTTTGTTTATTTTAATTTTGAGGCAATACTTCGTAATGTCAGGAGTTACTCCTGGCTCTGCACTCAAAAATCACTCCTGGAGGTGCTCAGAGATCATATGGGGTATCCAAGATCAAAACTGGGTTGGCTGCATGCAGGGCAAGTACTTTACTCACTGTGTTCTAGCCCCTGTGTATACGTATTTTGTACTTGATAAAGCGTATTTTAAGTAAGTTATTCCTCCGTCCCTCTCAGAGAGCCCAGCAAGCTACCGAGAGTATCTCGCCTGCACGGCAAAGCCCGGAAAGCTACCTGTAACATATTCAATATGCCAAAACACAGTAACAACAAGTCTCAAAAATGGAGACGTTACTGGGCCCGCTTGGGCAAATCTATGAACAATGGGAGGACAGTGACAGTGAAGTAAGCTAAGTTTGAGTGATCATGCAACATACAAAAATGAAATTAGAGTTTCATGTTGGCCTGATATTAAACTCTGGGACTATCTGACTCAAGGTCAAATGAGGAATTTATAAAATTCTGTAATTATTCTTCTTATTCCAGAGTTTTAAAACCTGTAACAGAACCCAAGAGCAATTAGTTCTTGAAAGCCCACAGCACATATTGTTACATGATAATTTGATAACCGTGTAACTACTGTGCAACTGGGTGGAGATTCTTTTTTTGGGGGGGGGGGGTTACACCCGACATTGCACAAGGGTTACTCCTGGCTCATGCACTCAGGAATTACTCCTGGCGGTGTTCAGGGGACCATATGGGATTCTGGGAATCAAAACCAGGCCGGCCACATGCAAAGCAAATGCCCTACCAGCTGTGCTATCGCTCCAGCCCTGGCAATTCTTATATTTCTTTTCATTCATGCTTTACATAAATATATTAAAATAATTGTGCTATACTTTTTTCATATATTTTTGAGACATTATGATTTTCTGGGTTGGAGCAATAGCATAGCTGTTAGGGCGTTTGCCTTGTACCCAGCTAACCAAGGTTCGATTCCTCTGCTCCTCCCGGAGGGCCCATCAAGCTACCAGGAGTATCCTGCCCACACAGTAATGCCTGGCAAGCTCCCCATGATGTATTCGTTATGTCAAAAACAGTAATAACAAGTCTCACAAGTTGTTGTGAGACGTTGCTGGTGCCCACTTGAGCAAATGGATAAACAATGGGAGGACAGTGCTACAGTGCAGTGCTGTGATTTTCTGGTTAAAACATAAATACACAGATTGTATATTTACTGGCTAAAAGATTAGTGTTTACATAACTAGTTTTAAGTTAAATTTTCTTAATAATAATAATAATAATGATAATAAAATCTGCAAAGGCGAAATTGATGTATAATAATATGAATACCACTACCGAGAGTATTTGATATGCCAGACACAGTAACAACAAAGTCTCCAATGGAGACGTTACTGGACCCGCTCGAGCAAATCGACGATCAACGGGAGGGCCTTTACCTTTTACCTTACTCCTGAGGGGGGAAAATGCAAAATAGAAAAATTGCCTTAGTACTAAAGCCAGAGATCAGAAGCCAGGCTCCACGATTAGTGTAATGTTATCTTTTTCTCCTTTTAGTTTTCCTTTTCTTCTAAATATTTTCTTTTTGTTTGGTTTTGTTACCAGTGGGAGGCATGACTCCGTCAGCGAAGGAGTGAGGTACCCTGGTGGGTTATGGGAAATGGGGAAAAGAGAGGCAGCAGTCTCGAACCGGGAGCCTATGGATTCTGTCTATCCAACTCAGTCACCCGGGGAAATGCACAGAAAATCTAAGGCAGATGGAAGCCTGCAATGTGCACCTGCGTGGTACAGACCTTATGTCTCACCAACCACATCCAATCCACACCTGACTTCCACTTCTGCCCTGCCTGGGAAATGATCCCTAGTAATGGATCCGGAGTGAGGAATTGCGCTTTCAAGGAAAGAAAAATTAGTCTTCTAAAATATTAGAGGCTTTTTCAGCCATTTGCCTTCCTCCTAAGGAAGGAACTTCAGGAAGAAATTTTAAGAGAAGTGTATTCAGGAAGTGAAGGGAAGGAAAAGAGAGAGAAGTCTTCCAGGGGGAATGCTGGTTTCTCCAGAGTAGAAAAAGCCCACAGTGGCTTTCTGGGTAAAGTGAAGTAATGGATGTTTTCCATAACCTTCTTCCCAAGTTGCTTATGCAAGTAGGAGGTACTGTGTTTTTTCTCCCCCCTGGGAAAAAGCACCCAGCTTATGGTGGTCTGCTCTTGAATTCCTATAGCAGCCTTTGAGTGTTCATTCTTGGGGTTCCTCTTCCCAGGGCGAGGCCCTCTTCTTCCCACAATAGACAGCTGCCTCTTTTCCATGCTCTGTCCAGGAATTTTGCATTTCAGTGGTTTTCCAGGCTCCTAAGATGTTTTTATTTTTTTTTTTGTCTCTGAAGTCTTTTGGCTAATTTAGTTTTCAGACAAAGTTTTTCTCAACATGGTTTACCAGGGTCCCTATTATTTCTGCCTGCAACAATTCTATACAGATATTCTAGAGTTTTATATAAGGTTTTGACTAGTTTTTCAACTAAAAGAAATTCATTTTCTCATTTCTTAAATGATGCTTGAAGCATTATTATAGGTTCTAGGAATAATAAGGTAAGACAAAACTTATTTCCAAAAGAGGTCATCTTGAAATTTATAATGTAGTAATTAAGACAGACAGTAAAGTATACAAACAGGTAAAGTATGTAGTGTTTGGTCATGATAGAATAAAAAGAAAATACAATTTTAGGACGTAGTTTATTGTGAAATGAAATTGAAATGAGTTTTGTGTGCACAGTGAAAACATTAATTAAGAGATTGTTATCCCAAGAGAGTGAAGGAATAGACCTTTAGTTCTATAGTAGAGCATTTTTAAATTTAAGAAACAAAAAAATAAATAAATGGTAAATTCTGGAGCTGGAGAGGTATTATACACTTGCTTTGCATGTGCCAACCCGGTTTCGATTCCAAGCATACAAGTATGGTCCTCAGAGCATTGCCAGGAGTAATTTCTTAGTGCATAGTCAGGTGTGACCCCAAAACACACAAAAATTGGAAAGTTCCTGGTATATTCCATGAATAATGACCTTTGTAAATAAAGTCATCAAGTGTTTGTTCATGTTTTGTCTTGCACAATCAAGAAGCACTAACCTGTGTACTAAATATTTTTATTTTTAATACTATGAACACGTAGGGTGTTTGCCTTGCATGCAGCCAGCCCAGCTGAGCCAGGTTCAATTCCTCCGCCCCTCTTGGAGAGTCCGGCAAGCTACCGAGAGTATCTCGCCCACACAGCAGAGCCTGGCAAGCTACCTGTGATGTATTCGATATGCCAAACACAGTCACAAGTCTCACGATGGAGACATTACTGGGCCCGCTTGAGCAAATCTGTCAGCAACAGGAGGACAGTGCTACAGTGCAGTGCTACTGGGAACATACTTCATGTGAAGTTGGTGGACCCTCAGGGGACTTAAGTGAGACAGAGGAGAGAGAAACAGCCAGTCTCTCCTAATCCATCTCTGCCACTTCGGAACCGGCTAGCGAGACTAGGACTGATGAAATCAACCATGAGCTGCTGTGCAGCATGGACCTGAGTCCTGTCAGATCAGTTGCCACCTAGCTGTCCCACTAGGTGGCCGTCCGGCCACACTAGACGTCTACTTGTTCTACTTGACACAGTTGTTAACCCCGCCACCCAATTTCTTCAGGAGCCATGCACTGAGGCTGAAGCAAAGAATTGTTCTTTGAAAGAAAGCAAAGTCAGTCGTAGGCCTTTTCTGGGCCTTCCAGGTTCATGTTCTTATAGAAAAGAATTTCAGGAGACAACAGTGAAGGAACAACAGATTTTATTTGGAGGCTTTCTGAGAAAGAAAAAAGGGGAGAAAGTGTTCAGGAGAGTGTGGGTTTCTCCAATGCTCCAGAACATCTCATGTGGATAACACTTGTACTTGGTCACATGGACACAAACAGCACATGGACAGCATATGCACATGCTTCTTTGTTCAAGGTGACTTTTATAGGGTTTTTCCCAAGTTGCCACATGTGGGGCTTTCTAGCTAGATAAGAGTCTGTTGCTAGGGTGGTTGTCTAGGGGTAGATGGTCTTTGTTGAAACTCCTTTTCTTTATCCTTGTTACTGCTGAAACTTCTCTTCGAGGGTGGGAGCAGCTTTCTCTCATCTGGGCTAGCGCCAGGTAAAGATCTTAGCAGGTCAGAGTCCCTCTGTAATGTGGGTCCTGACAGCCTTTGGGCTTCCAAGGAATTCCATTGCCATGTAGCTGCCTACATCACATGCATATCATAATTGTTATAATTTTGTGTATAAAATTGTGTATAATTTTCCCCATTATATCACTAACGCTGCTTTTATATTATAATTTCTGTTTAGCCTTTGTCAAGAGAATACCACTATGGCAACAATTTTGGTTATATAGTGGCATTTAAACCATTTGATGGGGACGAATGGAAAAAAGTCACAGTTACTAATCCAGACACTGGCAGATATGTCCATAAAGATGAGACCATGCGACCATCTACTGCATTTCAAGTCAAAGTTAAGGCCTTCAACAACAAAGGAGATGGACCTTACAGCCTCACTGCAGTAATTAATTCAGCCCAAGATGGTAGGTAAACACACACACACACACACACACACACGCACGCACACACACACACACACACACACACAGAGCCAGTGAGGAAAAATTTAATTCACTGGTACATATTTTGTTTTCTGTCTTTAGAATTTTGTATCTTAATAATATTAATAATAGTACTATGCATTTTCTAAATGAGTACTATTTTGAGCTTAAATACAGTGTCAATCTCTCCATTGACATTTTTTTCCCTTTTTTATTTTTTTAACACTTGACTTAGACCTCTGTTCCTACTTTTGGATTATAATTTTGTAGTTAGAAATTCTTTATACTTATTTGGAAGCTCATTACATTTATTCATTCATAAAATCATTGCTTGTAAATTCTTTAACCTGTGCTGGTTTATTTTACAAGTACCCCCTTTGTTTCCAAAATTTGTGTACTTAGTACTTATATTTTATTTAAAAGAATCTAGTAATTTATTTTATTTAAAGAAATGAAATGGAAAGATGAATAAGAAAAATACTTGATTTTTTTTTCTTGTAAAGAAAAGTTTGTTTTGGAAACCACTTTGGTAAAAAAAAAGCAACAACAGATACTTTCTTTTCTTTAAAAAAAAAAAACTTTAACTGAGCCAAATGTGTTCACAGAGAACTTTATATATCTTTGATAGATTATGTTTACTTCTGACTAACTATAATTATTTTGATTACTCTACTTTCCTATTTAAGCTGCTATGCTTTCAATTATTTATTTTCAAATTAAAGAGATCTCTGCATTAGGTAAATAATGGGCTGGGAAGTAAATAGATACTTACTTGTCTATTGACCTGTAACATTTGTCTTAAGCCTAGTTTTCCTGTGCAGATATGTGCAAAGTACAAAGGGGGAGGTTTAAAAACTTAAAACTACGTGAAATTCTCCTCTGAAGTCTTAGAGGACAAATATTGCTAGTTTACTCATTTATATTATTTTCCTACAAATAGACTTTTGGTTTTCTCTTCAAGCTTATGTTCTCTTTTGAATTTATATTTCCCCTCTTTCTCTAACATCCCATCTTTCTAAGCATGTTTGATTGAATAAAACTAATTGCTTCTCCAAAAATAAATTTTTAACTTCTCCTAATCATGATCACGACCACCCTGTTGTTTGTCGATTGCCTCGAGCAGGTGCCAGTAACGTCTTCTTCGTCCTAGCCCTGAGATTTTTTTAAAAGTGCCATATTCAAGGCTTTTTCAGGGTTATGAGAATGAGACCCATCATTGTTACTGGTATTTGGCATATTGGGTATACTACGGGGAGTTTGCCAGACTTCTCCTAATATATATCTATATATCTATATCTATATATCTATCATGGTCCATGGTCCTCCCGTTGTTCATCGATTTGCTTGAGTGGGCCCAGTAATGTCTCCATCGTGAGACTTGTTGTTACTGTGTTTGGCATATCGAATACGTCACGGGGAGCTTGCCAAGCTCTGCCGTGCGGGCGAGATACTCTCGGTAGCTTGCTGGGCTCTCGAGAGGGGTGGAGGAATCGAACTCAGGTTGGCCATTTTGGCTGCTTGTAAGGCAAATGCCCTACCGCTGTGCTATCGCTCCAGCCCCGTATATATGCATATGTCATATACTCAAGAGTTATTAGCTTTCATATTTTGGGTAAAACCTATTATTATGGGCTGGAGTTATGATAGTACAGTGGGTAGGGTGCTTGTCTTGCAGCATCCGATCCCAATTTGGTCCCTGGAACACCTGTCCCCTGAACCTGCCAAGAATGGGCCCTGAGCACAGAACCAGGATTAAGCCTGAGCAGTGCCAGGTGTGGCCCCCAAACCCATGAAAATAAATAAATAAAAACTAATATATATTCAAATTCTTCCATATTTCTTATTTACAATACAAATAAGAAAAGTCATGTATTTAATATATCTATACACATTCATATTTTTTAATTTATTTTACTAAATGAACAGAAAATAAAATATAAACCTCATTAAATTAGAATTAAATCAAGACTGTTAGCACTAAATTATAAATCTTACATTCTCCATGATATGATTCAGCTTGATTTAATTTTAATAGCATGATTCCAAAGAGTGCATCTCAGAGAAAATAAAAGTAGGCGTATTTTCGTAGTACTTTCAAAGTATTTTTAACTTCATATAAAATATCATTTATTTTATTTGATGGGCTGGAGTGATAGCACAGCGGTAGGACATTTGCCTTGCCCGCAGTCAGCCTGGCCAAGCCGTGTTCGATTCCTCCGCCCCTCTCGGAGAGCCCGGCAAGCTACAGAGAGTATCTCGCCTGCACAGCAAAGCCTGGCAAGCTCCCCATGACGTATTCAATATGCTAAACACAGTAACAACAAGTCTCAAAAATGGGGACGTTACTGGGCCCACTCGAGCAAATCGATGAACAACGGTAGGATTGTTTGTTTATTTGTAAGTAGTTTATATGTTTTATGTTTTTGATGTGTTTTATTTGATGTGTAAGTAATTAACCAAAAAGTCATACTTATTATATCTTTTAGTCATGGCAATCTGCATTTGATTATTCTTCTTTACAATGTTTCATGAATCTCCTAAAATCTGCATGTGCTGAAACTTCCACAAGTGTTGATTATTTTTTTCTGCCAAGCCACAATCATAGAAGCAGATTTCCTTTGATTTGTAAAGACAATAGTACTATATGTGCATAATAGTTTAAAAATAAAGTGGATTATGGCTTACTTATGAAAGATACTAAAACTAATTTCTTCTACTTAACCATCTCTTTTATTTAAAATTTACTTTGAGTGATTTTCTTTTTTTTTTCTTCTTTTTTTTGGTTTTGTGGATCACACCTGGTAGTGCTCAGGGATTAGTCCTGGTTCTGCACTCAGAAATCAATCTTGGCAGGCTTGGGGCCCATATGGGATACCAGGGATAGAATTTACCTAAGCCATGTGCAAGGCAAGTAAGGCAAGTGTCCTATCTGCTATACTATCTCTTTGACCCCCAGCTTTCCCTAATTCTCTTATGGATATTAATTTAGTTTTTTACTGAACAGAGGCCTTTATGTTACATATTTAATTTGATTCTAAGTTGGTGGATTAGACTTCATAAAATATTTCTTGGAGCCTTTTAAATGGCTGACTTGGGTTCTATTCCATGGAACTAACATATTGTCTTCTGAGCACTGTGAGGAGTGATCCCTAGGCAGAGAACCTGGACTAAATCTTGAGCACTGCTGGGAGTATACCAATAACCTTTTTTAAAGAAAAAAATTAAAGCTTCCTGAGTCCAAGTACAGTGGATGCCACAACATTTTTTTTTATATAATTTATTTATTTATTGAATCACTGTGGGAAAAGTTACAGAGCTTTCGGGTTTAGGTCTCAGTCATGTAAATATCAAACACATTTCCCTTTACCAATACTTATTTTTAACCCCGAACCCCAATAGGCCCCCACCTCCCCCCACCCCTCCCAATTCTTGTGAGGCAGATGAGTTCTAGTTAATACTCTATCTACTTTGACTAGATAGATTGTTTCGATAGAAGATGCACAATTATTGTTTAGAGTTTACGACCCACCCCTCACAATCAGATATGCTGAAACAGCGTTGTGAAATGATTTGCTTTCTACAACTTGGTTTAAGAATAAAATGATGTCGCGCGGCCGCTATTGCGGCCGCGCGGTTTTGAATTTCTGCTATTTTACTTATTGACCCTGGAAGAATTTCTATTAAAAGTTAGATAGTTAAGAGATTGGTTTCTGTGCCCATGCGGCCGCCATCTTTCTTTCCAGAGAGGAGCAGGCGGGCCGGTCAACGCCCTTTCCCCTCTGGGCAGGCTTGGTGGCGCTGTTTAACACATAGTCCATTTGCTTTTCTGCTCCAAGCGGCTGGTTCTCTGTGCTAAGTCCTTGTGCCTCCGGGGCCGTGGCCGTGCCGGAGAGCCGCTTGTGGGGGGCAGCCGGCGACCTCGGTGGGGCGTGGGGGACGGCCCTCAAAGCCCCCCTTCCCATGAGGTCCCCGCCGCTCCCGCCGAGCCCGTCTCAAACCGGCTGTCCACAAGGCTCCCGTGCTGCCGCCATCTTTCTTTCCAGAGAGGAGCGGGCGGGCCGGTCAACGCCCTTTCCCCTCCGGGCAGGCTTGGTGGAGCTGTTTAACACATAGTCCATTTGCTTTTCTGCTCCAAGTGGCTGGTTCTCTGTGCTAAGTCCTTGTGCCTCCGGGCCGTGGCCGTGCCGGAGAGCCACTCGTGGGGGGCAGCCGACCTCGGTGGGGCGTGGGGGACGGCCCACAAAGCCCCCCTTCCAACATTTTTAAAGAATTATTTCTGTTTAACTTAGACTTCAATGAGAATTGTTTTCCTCTAACCCACAGAAGTAGAAAGGGATAATTGGAAATCAATTGATAAAAGTGAAGCATTTTCTATAATAAATACTAAACGTCGTATTTTTGACAATATTGAATTGACTACTTTAATACAAAGAATTACATTTGGGTTAACATACTTTATTAAGCAGATTAAGAGAAAGATGAAAAAGAGTAATATAATTTTGTGAAGTTATGTTTGAGTGCTTACTTGAATATTATGTATGTATATGACTTGTGTGTCTATCTTTGGTGACAATGATATAAAATTATTAGGAAGTATAGAGATAATAGTTGCATTTATTTTACATTAGTGTCTTAAAAATATTTGAAATTTAACATAATTTCAATCCAGCCATATATTTAAGAAATAGCTCTATTTGAATTTAAGTATCTTATATAAGAATACAATGTTCTCATCAAATTACAGCCCCCAGTGAAGCACCAACAGAAGTGGGAGTAAAAGTCTTATCATCCTCTGAGATATCTGTTCACTGGGAGCATGTTATAGAAAAAATAGTGGAAAGCTATCAGGTGAGTTCAATACCTATCAATTGAAGTACATTTATTCATGAATTATATTTGTATAGCTTATTGAATTCCTTTGTCTTTTTTTTAATTGAATCACCATGAGATACAGTTACAAAGCTTTTGTGATTGGATTTCAGTCATCCAATTTTCTAATACCCATCCCTCCACCAGTGTACTTTTCCTACCACCAATATCCCAATATATCCCAATATCCCCCATATCTCTCCTGCCACTCTCTTTTGACCACACCCTCCCACCCCCCTGAGTCTGCCTCTATAGAAGACAGTTTTCCTCTCTCTCTCTCTCTCTCTGTCTCTCTCTCTCTCTCTCTCTCTCTCTCTCCCCTTTTGGGAATTATGGTTTGCAATTCCGATACTGGGAGAACATCTTGTTTGGTCCTTTATCACTTTCAGCACACATCTCCCATCCAGAGTGTCCCTTCCAATCATCAATCATTGTCATATTTGTCCCTTCTCTTTTCTCCCAGATTTTTCTACCAGCCCTTCCTTGAGGCAGGCTTCCAACTGAGGACCACCTGTCCTGGCCCTTGTTTCTACTGTACATAAGTGTTAGTTTCATGCTATTTTTTTCATATCCCACAAATGAGTGCAGTCATTCTATATCTGTCTTTCTCTTACTGACTTATTTCACTCAGCATGATACTCTCCATGTCAATCCATTTATAAGCAAATTTCATGACTTCATTTTTTTCTAACATTATGTAGATGTTACCTTAGTTTCTTTAACTAGTCATCTGTTCTCAGGCATTTGGGTTGTTTCTAGATTCTGGCTATTGGGAACAGTGTTTCAGTGAACATACAGGTGCAGATGTCATTTCTGCTGTGTGCTTTTGCACCATGGGGGTATATTCCCAGAGTGGTATTGCAGAGTAATATGCAATACTAGAAGCTCAGTTCTAGTTTTTTGAGGAATGCTCATATTGTTTTCCAAAAGGGCTGGACCAGTCGGCATTCCCACCAACAATGAACGAGGATCCCTCTGTCTGCATCCGCACCAGTACTGATTACTATTATTCTTTCTGATGTGTGCCAGTCTCTGTGGTGTAAGGTGATCTCTCATTTTTGTTTTGATTTGCATCTACCTGATTAGCAGTATAGAGCATTTTTGGCCATTTGTATGTCTTCTTTGAGGAAGTTTCTGTTTCTGAAACTTTTCTGAGAAATAAAAAGTTTTCATTTTTTCTCCCCATTTTTTGATGGGGTTGGAGGTTTTTTTCCTTATAAAGTACTATCAGTGCCTTATATAAATTAGATATTAACCCCTTATCTTATTGGTATTGGGTAAATAATTTTTTACTATCTATGGGCTGTTTCTGTATCTTAGTCACTTTTTCTTTTGAGGTTCAGAAGCTTCTTAGCTTAATGTAGTCCCATTTTTTATCTTTGGTTCCACTTTCTTGGTCAGTGGTGTTTTATCTTTAAAGACACCTTCAGTTTCAGTGTCATGAAGGATTCTGCCTATGTTTTCCTCCATGTACCTTATAGATTCAGAACTGATATTGAGGTCCTAAATCCATTTTGAACTGACTCTTGTGCCTGACATTAGACAGAAGTGTGAGTTCTTTTTTCTTTTCTTTTTTTTTTTCATGTAGCTGCCCAGTTTTCCCAGCACCATTTTTTTTTTGTTTTAAACTATCGGTTTTATTTATTTATTTTTCTTTTTTTATTAGTGAAAAACCATGAGGCACAGTTATAGGCTTACAAATTTTGTGCTTGGGTTCCAGTTACACAACGATCAAGTGCCCATCCCTCCACCAGTGCCCGTCATCCATCCCCATGGGTCCAGCATCCCCCCCCACCCTCATCCCCACCCCCCGTCCCATCCTGCCTCTGTGGCAGGGTATTCCCCCTTGTTCTCTCTCTCTTCTTTTGGGTACTGTGTTTTGCAAGAGAGGCTTTGAGTGGCAATCATGTTTGGTCTATCGACTACTTTTAGCATGCTTCTCCCACCCTGGGAGGGCCCTCACAACACCCTTCATTTGGTACTCTCTTCTCTATCTGAGCTTCCTTTTCACCTAGAGCCTGTGGCTGGCCTTCCATTCATGGAGCAAAATTCCTGGTACTAATCTCAGCCATTCCTGGGTGTTACTCTCCCTTTTTGTTGCTTTATGTTCCCCAGATGAATGCAATCTTTCTGTGTCTATCCCGCTCTTTCTGACTCATTTCGCTTAACATGATACTTTCCATGTAGTACCACTTGTATGTAAATTCCATAACTTCATCTTTTCTAACAGCTACATAGTACTCCATTGTGTAAATGTACCAAAGTTTCTTTAACCAGTCATCTGTTCTTGGGCACTCAGGTTTTTTCCAGATTCTGGCTATTGTAAAGAGTGCTGCAATGAACAAACAATTGCAGATGTCACTTCAACTATACCTTTTTGCCTCTCTGGGATATATTCCCAGGAGTGCTATAGCTGGGTCAAATGGCAGATCAAATTCTAATTTTTTGAGAGTCGTCCATACTGTTTTCCAAAAGGGTTGGACCAGCCGGCATTCCCACCAGCAGTGAAGGAGGGTCCCTTTCTCTCCACATCCGCGCCAGCACCGGTTGCTTTTGTTCTTGTGGATGTGGGCCAGTATCTGTGGCCAGCACCATTTTTTAAACAGGTATTTCTTGCTGTACTTCATATATCTTACTCCTTTGTCAAAGAGTAAGTGATTAGATATTTGAAGATCTGTCAGTATTGTGTATATATGTATGGCATTTGTCATTCTAATTATGTTATGTCTCAGAGTCTTTTTATTAGGATCTCTTTTAGCTGGTACCCTTTAGACTTCGGGCTTGGGTGCCTGCATTCTCCAGCTCTGGGAACTTTTCAGCAATAAAGTCTTTAGCTTTTGCTACCTCATTGGGGTTGCCTCCCTGTCCACTGGTACCCTGATGATTCTTCGTCTTGAATTCATCCCATATGTCTCTTACCCACCCTTGAGCTTTGTTAAAGTCTTTTTCCATCTTCTTTTGTTCTCTGTATGTTTCTGTAGTTCATCTTCAAGCTCACTGATTCTGTTTTCTACTGTTTCCATTCTATTGTTGAGGATACACATTGATTTTTTTTATTTAATCTATCGCATTTTTTTATTAGTGACACTTCAGATTATAGTTTTTAAAATTTCTGCTCTCATTTCCTCCTGTATATTATTTAATGTTCATTCTGCTGTTTGCTTTGGGGAGTATTACCATTTTGATAATGTTAATCCTCCCTAACCATAAGCAGGGGTTGTGTCTCCATTTCCTAGTGACTTCTTTTACTTCCTGAAGCAATGTTTTATAGTTTTCCTTGTGTATCTCCTTCACATCTTTAGTTAAACTGATTCTGAAGTACTTGATTTCCTGAGGCACAATTTTGAACAAGATTGTTTTTATAATATTGTTTTCTTCTTTTTCATTATTTGGATATAGGAAAGTCATGGACCTTTGGGTATTGATTTTGTAACCTGCCACTTTACTATGCAAACCTATTGTTTCTAGGAGCTTTTTGTAGAGTCTTGAGGATTTTCTAAGTATATTATCCTGTCATTTCCAAATAGTAATAGCTTGATTTCTTCCTTTTCTATCTGATGCCCTTAGTATATTTTTCTTGCCTAACTGCTATGGCAATTACTTCCAGTACTATATTGAATAGAAGTGGGCAATCTTGTCTTGTCTCTGATTTTAGAGAGAAGGTTTTAGTTTTTTCCCCATTTAGAATAATGTCTCCTGTGGGCTTTGTGGCTTTGAATATACTGAGGAAAGTTCCTTCAGGACAAAAAATTCCCATTTTGTTGAGGATTTTTTTTTAATCTTAAATGGGCGCTGATCTTCTCAAATGTTTTCTCTGAAAAATTATAGGGTTTTCATCTTTACTTTTATTGAAATGGTGTATTATGTTGATTGACTTGTGAATGTTAAACCATCCTTGTATCCCCAGGATGAATCCTTCTTGGTCGAGGTTTATGATATTTTGATGAGTTGTTGGATTCTATTTGCCAGTATTTTGTTGAGGATCTTTGCATCTGTGTTCATCAGGGATCTCAGCTTGTAATTCTCTTTTTTGGTGATGTCTCTGTCTGCTTTTGGTATTATTGTTATATTTACCTCATAGAAACTGAAAGTATTTCTCTTTCTTCAGCTTCCTGGAACAGGATTGGGAGAAGGTCCTAAAGGTTTGGAAGAATTCAGCTGTGAATCCATCTGGGCTCGGACTTTTGTTTGCTGGGGGAACTTTTGATTACCATTTAAATTTCCTCATTAGTGATAGGTATATTAAGGTATTCCAATTCTTTTTGGGTCAGCTTGGGAGATTATAGGAGTCCAGGAATTTATTCATTTCTTCAAGGTTCTCTTGTTTCATGGCATAAAGATTCTCAAAGTAACCTCTTATAATCCTTTGACTTTCTGTGGTTATGTTGTGATGTCCCCTCTTTCATTTCTGATTGATTATTACTGTTCTCTCTCTCTTTCTCCTTCATTGTCAGTCTTGCTAGTGGTTTATCAATTTTGTTTATTTTCTTGAAGAACCTGCTCTTGATTTCTTTGATCTTTTGGATTATTTTGGGGGCTTCTAGTTGTTAATTTCCACTCTAAGTTTTATTATTTCTGTCCTCCTCTCTAGTTTGGGCTTCTTTTATTGGTCATTTTCCCAGATCTAAAGCTGTGAAGTTAAATTACTTATGTGGGCCCACTCTTCATTCCTGAGAAATGCTTACAGAGTTATAAACTTTCCTCTTAACACCACTTTTGCTGTGTCTCGTAAGTTCTGGTAACTCATTTCTTCATTCTTGTTTGTTTCCAGGAATCTTTTTATTTTAATTTTTATTAGTGATACACCATGAGGTACAGTTGTAGACTTACAAATTTTTTGCTAGGATTTCAATTATACAATGATCAAATACCCATCCCTCCATCAGTTCCTATTTCTCACCACCACGGATCCCAGTATCCCTCCCACCCCCCATCCCCCCCCCATCCCACCCTGCCTGTGTGACAGGGCATTCCCGTCT